AACTTCCATCACACTTTCCAAATTTTATTGAGCTGTGGCGTACACAGCGTGTTTAATGCATCAAATACATGAAATCGGCTGAAAATATATATGGGAGCTATATCCAAATCTGAACCGATTTCAATATAATTTGGAAAAATTTATCTTTGTTTCAAATTTTGTTACACATTCCAAATTTGGACGCTGTATATACCGAAAAAATCGAGAAAGTTTGCATATTTTCTATACATGCCGTTATATGGTTGCCATACCCAAATTTTCAATTTTGATTAGATATGGAAATAATCCAACCAATGAGAACTCAATATGCGGACTATACAAAATAGTGAAGTGAATTGAAAATATAGTAAGAAAAGGATTCATATACTCGGAAAATTCTTCCGAACCCTTAAAAGTAACCTTAAATCATAGGTAACGTTCTACGGGCACTACAATCTTGGGCTTAGGAAATTTTTCGGTTGGTAAAAAAATCTCTGGGAACCCCAGTCTAACTTTTTTAGAGTTAATTTTATATAGCTTTACAATACACAAAGGGCCACAAATACTCCGCAAAAGTTACGATAGAGTTTTAAATTTGATACAGTCCTAAGGGTTACATGAGGAATCATTTGTACAAAATATGTATCAGGTTGGTCTACATTGTGACCTCAAATGTTGGTAATTTTAGGAAGAAAAACAAATTATTTCAAATAATAGTATAGGACCATGCTTCATTATAACTCTATATGCTATATTATTTAGGTTTTTAACTCCTAAACTAAAACCTCTTACCTCTTACTAAATCAGGTTTTTTGAAAGACGTATTTATTTCTATTTAATCATTTATATTAAAAATTGTCCCACTTATAAGAGCCAGATTTGTGAATTATTATGCTCTAAGAACTATGCATTAAAGACTAAAACTACGGGCCGGCAACACGGACTGGGCCAGCTAGTATTATATAAATATTGCAACGTGCTAGGTTTGGACTGTGTTGTGTTCATGGAATTTTTGAGATGTACCAAGTCTTGAATAAAATCGGATGTCACTTTCGCTTTTTATGAGCTTCATGGATATTCAAAATTATGAGCCTTTGTGGGGGAGATACCAGAAGTAGTGAACCGATATATCCCATCTTCTCAACGGATTTTTTGTTAGTGGAAATAATGGGATGTGTGAAATATAAAGAGAACCTGTGCTTATTTGGGATTTTATAAACGTTTTGGTTATTCAAAACTTTGCCCCTTTGTGGGGGAGGTAGCAGGAGGAAAGGTTCGATCTCTACCTTTTTTTAACAGATTCTGTGTTGATAGAAATGTGCCAAGTCTAAATGGAACCCGATGTTAATTTCGCGTTTTATGAGCTTAATGGATATTTAAAATTTTGATCTTTTGTGGGGGAGGTACCAGAAAGAGTGGACCAATATATTCCACCTTAACACCAGATTTTGGTTTTATGAAAATATTGGGATGTGTGATATATTAAGACAATCGGATTCTTACATCACATTTTATAAGACTTATAATTATTGAAAATGTTTACCCTCTGTGGGGGAGGTACTTGATGGAGTGGACCGAGAACTAGCGCAAATATTAAGATTTTCAAAGTTGGAGCAAGCCCGGATTATCGCTTCTCTTTCTATGCAGAAAAAAATATTTCTTAACACCAGACCTTGGGTTAATATAAATATTGGGACAATTTTGACAATTTTTTATTGACAATTGAACATTTTATAAGAGTTGTAATTCTTCAAAATGTTGACCCTTTGTGGGGGAGGTACTTGAAGTAGTGGACCGATATTGAACATTTTCACACCTGACCTAGCACTGATGTAAATATTAGGATTTGCAAAGTTGGAGCAAAATCGTATTATCGTTTCTATATCTGTACAATTTTTTTTTTTTTTTTAATTTCGACCATTTGTGGGGGAGGTACCAGAAGGAGTGGACCGATATTGACCATTTTCGCACCAGAGTTAGCACTGACGCAAATATTAGGATTTTTAAAGTTGGAGCAAAGCCGGATTATCGATTCTCTTCCTGTGCAGAAAAAAATATTTTTTGAAAATTTCGACCTTGTGTGGGGGAGGTACCAGAAGGAGTGAACCGATATTTTCCATCATCACGGATTATCCTTTCTCTTTCTGTGCAAAATTTTTTTTTTTTAAATTTCGACCTTTTGTGGGAGAGGTACCAGAAGGAGTGGACCGATATTGCCCATCTCCGAACTCGATCTAAGTTTGATAAAAATATTACGATGTACTTAGATTGGACGAAATCGGATACTCCCTTCGAGAGTTCAATTTCGCTCCTCCACCCTACGCTCCTTCAAAACGTGAATATTTTTAATGCTGATAATCGCTTTTCGGCGAATAACATATACATGAATAGGGCAATTCTAACCTTGACATTGATACTGATTTCGTAGACTTCTATAGTCTGAAATCTGAACTATACACCTGAATATAAATTTTCAAATTCTGTTTCGAATTCCCATAAGTAAGATAGAGGCCGCATTTGTTTGGCTCTGGTATTGTTAGACCATGATCAACAATCACCATAAAATAGAAATTTATTATTATATTATTTGCAAACCCGTAATAACTAAAAATAATAGTTAGTCCATTTATGTATCCCAATATCTTAAGGGATTCGTTCAAAACTTTTTTGCATACATGGGATTTATTTTTTGGAACGGTAATTTTTTTTTTTTTTTTTTGACTGGACTACACTGATGAACTTTACTCCTCTTTTCTGATACTTTTTATACCCCCACCATACATAGCATGGAGAGTATATTAAGTTCTCATACTGTTGTTTCTCATCGAAATAATAATTTTAGACCTAACAAAGCATATATATTTTTGATCAGCGTAAAATTCTAAGCCGATTTTTGTCTATAGGCAGGTCAAGTTCGAAGAATGGCTATATTGGTCCACGATATCGTATAGCCCTCATGTAACTGTAACCCCGATGTTCGGTATTTTGACGATTTTAACCACATTTTTCAATGGAATTGTCTGAAATTCTGCACAAGGAGATCTTCGCGACTACTTTACCCCCAGAAGAAAAAAGCTATTGTCTATATAGGTCCGCGATATCGTATAGCCCCCATATGATGGTACCCCCGATATTTGGTACTTTGATGATTTTAACCACATTTTTCAATGGAATTGTCTGAAATTCTACACAAGGAGTTCCTCGTGATTACTTTACCCCCTGAAAAAAATTTTCTATATGGGTCTACGATCTCGTAAGAAAATTGGAAGAAAATTGTCTATAAAGGTATACGTTTTAGTATAGCACCCATAAAACGCTACCCCCAGATATTCGGTATTTCCAGGATTTTCGCTACATTATTCATCGGAATTGCGTCAAAGTTCGTATTTAAAGTTCATAATGGGAACTACAACCTATGACGGGAAATTGTCTATGCAGGTCCACGGTTAGTATAGCTCCCATACAACGGTATCAACCTTTATTCGGTATTTTGATGATATTATATTTCAGAATTGCGTCAAGTTTCGAATTTGAAGTTCAGAATCTTTACTACAGCGTATCACAAAGAGGTACTTATCCAGCACGTTTATTTGAGCTGTATTTTTCGACGGATTTTTTTTTTAAGTTTTCAAATTCATACAAAAAGTTCGGCCCGGCCGAAATTAGCTGTTTTTTTTATACCCTACACCACAAGGTGGACAGGGTATTATGTTTTTGTGCATTTGTTTGTAACAGGCAAAAGGAAACGAGATAGACCCATTGTTCCTTTTGATGATCTGCATAGAATCACATTCTGAGTTCTGTTCATGTATTTTTGTAAACAATGTACACTTCGCATTTATTACCCGATCCAGATGAAGTTTTGCACAAATCATTTGTTTGGCCCAAGGACGAACCCTATTGAAATTGGAGATAATAGGTAAAAATTTAGATATAGCTCCCATATATATCTTCGTCCGTTTTGACTTTTATTGTGCACCAAATTTTGCACATACAACCAAATTAGGTCTGAAAATAAGTATGCCAAATTTGATCGAAATCGGTTCAGATATAGCTATAGCTCCCATATATATTGTTCGTCCGATTTGTTATTTTTGTCCGCCGCAGCCGTAATATGCACTCTGTAACAACAATATTTGGGGAAATATATCAAATTTAGCTCAGAAATACCTTTGATAAATTTTATCGAGAGCGGTTCAGATTTGGATATAGCTCCCATATATATCAAATGGGCAATACCAGTCCGAATTTAAAAGTTACAAATTCTTCGTCATATTTGGTCTTTTAAACTTTAAATTATAATTATAATCATAGCGTGTATGATTGAATTCTCCCATAAAAACTTTTAATTGTTATGTGGAGCTCTACTAAATTAGCAAAGTAGTGTAGGATATCACAAAGTCGGCCCCGCCCGACTTTAAGACTTTCTTTACTGGTTTTACTTGTTTTCTTTAGTTTTCACGATTTGTAAGAGAATCGGGGACTAACTGACTGCCCAAATTGGGCGTATTGTGGCTAAGTTTTAGTAGATTCTCAATACCTTAGACAATTTACTTTAATAAAAACGAAATGAAACACGTTTTTGCATATTTGTTGTAGAATTAAATATGCGATGAGGTATTTCTTTTTTTTTTTGTTAAGCAGTAAACATTAGCACTCGTATTAAAAAGAATAAGTGACTAAATATAAAATCCGTATAATTTATTTGTTTTTTTTTCTTTGTTCTATTTTTTGTTTTATAAAAAAAAACACACACATGCCTACATTCATGCACATGTATATCGTATAATTTGATAACCATATTTTTGGCATAAAAACAATGTTTTATCTTAATCTAAAACACATTTACACACCTACATACAAACACATGTGCATATCTACGCTGTTAAACTATACTTACAAACAAACATACAAAATTGACAATCGCTTGGAATGTTTTTATTTATTTGTCAATCAAAACAAAATGTTGAACACTAATAACAAATACACTACAACAAAAAAGGTAACACTTAAGAACTCACTTTATAACAACCAGACAGGTTGTTGCTGTTCCTGCATTAACTTGATTGTTTTATATTGTTTTTCTTCTTCTTTTCTTTTCGTTGTTATATTGGTGGTTGATCTTGCTTTTGTTTCGGCTTCTGTTGTTGTTATAGTTTATTTCGAATCTTGCTATTTTTATTGGTACTATTTTGTAAAATTTTTATGAATGAATTTGTGTTTGGTAAACAATAAAATAAACACATATGGCTGACAAAGTTGACTATTATCACTAAGTACGACACACATGCATGTATGTATGTACACACACATGTATTTATGTATGTACTTCTGTAGCAACGAAGATACCGCTACTTTAGGTAGACTGATGATCGACGACAAATGTTTATTTGAAGGTTTGTCGTCAAAATGAAATTCACATTTGGACACAAATTCGGGTAGCAATTAATCGATACAGCTTATTAAGATTAAACTTTACGTCTGTGTTTTTGTTTGGTTTTGTTTTGTGTGTTTTCACGAAAGTCACACGGGGACCATATAGACTATGCCTACTATACCGACTGGAATGAATGGCATAAACAAATGTGACACGACCGCCTGAGCGTTAAACGAGTGACTAAATGAAAAATGAGCTAGCACATTTGGCGCACCATCGTACAAGTGCTCATCGTCACCGCGGCTTCCAGACAAGCAGTGCATACCCGTACAGCGACTCTCCGTTAGCTGTTAGTAGCGTAATATAGCAGCAGCGGCAAAAACAAAAACATATAAAATACGAATGTTCTCTCACAAACAGCGGTTAATAAACAAGCACTACTGAGGCTAGCAGAGAAATTAGCCGCTAGCCGCCTTGATCGTCGATTCGGATTGGCCGAACTGAATGACAAATCCCCGATAAAAACCGATCGCTCACAACTGTGATGCAGAAGTGTTAATTCGGAAAACCCCATTGCCCAATAAAATCCTTGAAGTGGATCTTACTCACATCGTAGACAGGTAGTTGGCGCGCCAACATAAATCGTTTTAATTTAAAATTAACATTAATTTGATGTGTTGTTGTCAATCACTGCCTATTTCATACACAATAGTATACATATATTTAATAATATGGGATGTAATAAGACGCAATCTTTTGCAGCTCAAAATTAGACGTATTTTTCGCTTTAATTCATTCCAAGTCAAAATTTAACAGATCTTATAGTGAAATGTTTCCACAAATGGAGGAACAGGAGGAACAGGTAATAAAGTACCAAGATTGACGGGATCGGCCTAAAAAATTATCCACCGTAGAAATATTGGAATTTTAAAATAAAAAATTTTCAGTATTTTGATGATTTTCGCCACATTTTTCACGGATTTGTCTAATAATTGATATTTGTAGTTCGAATTGGGTTCTAGATCCTGTATTATATAATATACTACTAGCTGACCCGTACGGACGCGTTGCTGGCCCGTAGTATTAGGGTATAATGCATATTTTTTAAGAACCTAATATTAGATCTAAAGTTAAGCTTTTTTAAGCTTTTAAAAAAGATCTAAACTTTGATATAAACGTTGGCTTACAACCGTATATATCAGAAAGAATACAAAAATGCAGAAAGGTGTATAAACTTTTGGGAAGATTGATAATTCAACATTTTAAAGGTTTTATTTTCAAAAATAAGTAGATTTGTTTATGTTTTCCTATACGACACCAAACGGAAGTTGTAATGTTATGCAGTTTTTATTTTTTTTATAAATTTTAATAGCTTTTTATTCAAAAATGTAATTTCTATAATTGGTTTGACAGTTCATTGTTCCAGTAGTTGAGTCGACGCGACTACCTATATTCTTCTACCATGCTTTTAACTGTGGTCAATTTACAAATTTGCGGGTTTTCATGGTTAACGCTTATCGACGTTTTCGTTATTTTGTGGTTTATTGTTGTATTCTTTCCAACATATTTGTTTAAGGTGCACAATATTTATGATGAATGAAGGACATTTTGCATGTACATGTGTATATATTTTTTCAATTTTTTATACCCTCCACCGTAATATGGAGGGTATATTAAGTTTGTCATTCCGTTCGTAAAACCTCGAAATATACATTTTAGATCCCACAAAGTATATATATTCTTGATCAGCATGCAATTCTAAGTCGATTTAGAGATATCCGTCCGTCTCTGGAAATCACTCTAGCATTCGAACGAAATGAAGTAGGCTAATACAATTTTGCTCAAATGAATATTATGTCTGCAGAACTCTTGGTATCGAAAATGTGTCATGTACGTCCACGTTTTGGTATAGCCCACATATAATGGCATTTGGTACCGATACTCGGTATTTTAATGATTTTAGCGACATTATTTACTGGAATTGTTTCAAATTTAGTATTTGAAGTTCGTAATTGATACTGCGGTCAATGACAGAAAATTATCCGTGCAGGTTCACGTCCTCGCATGGCCCCCATATAACGGCTCCCGATATTCGGTATTTTAATGATTATAGCTACATTATTTACTGAAATTGTTTCAAAATTTGTATTAGAATTTCGTAACGGATACTACAGCCTATGACGGAAAATTGTCTGTGCAGGTCCACGTTTTGGTATAGCCTCCATATAATGGTACCTCCCTATCTTTGGCATTTTGATGATTTTAGCGACATTATTCACCGGAATTATTTCAAATTTAGTATTTGAAGTTCGTAATGGATACTATGACAGAAAATTACTACTTATTGTGGTAGAATATTGTTTATATAGATCTATGTTTTCGTATAGCTCCCATATAACGGTTCTTCCATTATAACAGTCTTGTAGCCCCATGTTTCAAAGGAATTTTTTGAAATATTGTACTTGGAGAATACAGTAAATAACAACTCCAATAGCTGGGAATTGTCAGTTTACGTTCACGTACTGTTGAAGACTCCACATTACTGCATCGCCACATTTTGATCATTGATCATTCTTCCAGCAATTTCCATTTGGATATTGAATTCGTATAATGTTTTAAGGAGCAATCACATAAAGAGCTTTCTGATGGCTTAAGTTATCGGCTGGCTTCCTTGTAAAAGAGCAAAGGGGCGTAAGGTGAGCAAATTGTAGACCATAATCGAACTAAGTAAACCAAATATCTCTTTTGTTCTTTTACGAAGAAGCCAGCCGATGACTTAAGCCAGTCAACATTGTCTTTTATGTACTTCCACCTTTATGGTTTTATTTACCTTATGATGAGGCTATTAGAAGCTCCTCCCACCCGAACTTAATGTTTTTTTACTTGATTTTTTTATACAGTTCCACTAATTAACATATAAAAAAATTGTGCCCTAGGAAGTAGAACCCGTTAAGTGCCAGATTTGGAAACATTCCATTGAAGAATGTCTGTTATAATGGAAGAACCGTTATATGGGAGCTATACGAAAACATAAATCTATATAAACAATATTCTACCACAATAAGTAGATCCCATCCCGAATTTCAAACAATTCTCTAGAAAATGAGGAAAATCGTGTTAAATGTGGGCTATGCGATATCGTGGGCCTGTATTATACATTTACAAACTTGACCTGCCTGCTGAATTCTTATAAGAGCAAGATAAGATATAGGACTGAGTCCGCCTTATTAAATTGGCTTTCCTCTATTCCATGTATGGTGGAGGGTATAAGAACAAAGATTTGCTTAATTGTGGAAGAGTTATAAATACAGTAAATCGTCATCGTCTGTGTCTTTGGGAAGTGAGATTTATTTGACTTCGGAATTGAATTCTTCCAAAAAATTAAAACTAATTTAAATGATTCACACAAAAAGATGCGATGCAGCGACACTTGTACCGATGAACAAAGTTCATTTATAGATGAAAACTTTTTTCAAGTGAAAACGTCGAATACCTGACGTATTTGGTACTAGGCGTGGGCGCATAACGTGAATTTAAATTATTGGGATGTCTTTGAAAATCGTGCAAGGGACTATTTAGTAAGGAAATCTAACAAGAATTTAAAGCCGACCAAAAAATGCACATACGGTAATATTATTTCCTTCGTTGTTGCAGTCTGGTTCTTTTTGGCGTTTTGTTATGAAGAGGCCAAAGTATGCGTAGAAAAAAAGTAAAAAATCAAAAGTTTGGCCAGGTCGAACCTTAAATACCCTCCAATATTAGCTAAAGAAAACATTTTTATATCAAAATATCTGGATTCAAACGTATTCGACTTTAAACTACAAATACCAGTAAGATTGGATTGAGAATGCGGAAAAGTTTTCAAAAAAATAAAAAAAAACATTGAAGTGTGCGAAGCGGTTATATGGGAACCTTTTGCGAGTCTTAAATACCATATTTGAAACAATTCCGTAGGTAAATTTGACCATAAATATACCGAGTATCGGTGGGTACCGCTATATGGAATCAGTGGACAAATGTGGACAATGTTTTAACACCGGCTGTAGAACCCAAATTCATACCGAATGTTCGAAGGTAGCGTTATATGTACGCTATAGGAAAATGTAAACCTATGTATACATTGTCCTGCCACCGGAGCTAGAATCCATTACGAACTACAACAACAAATTTTTAGACAAATCCGTAAAAAAATGTGGCTAAAACCATCAAAATATCGAGTATCGGAATGTACCGTTATATGAAGGCTATAGTAAAACGTACTCTGCCACCAGAAGTAGAACCCGCCACTAACTCTTAATATGAAATTTGAAACAATTCCGTAAAATATGTGACAAATATCATCAAAATGCCAAATATCGGAGGGTACCGTTATATCGGTGCTATAGCAAAATATCTCATTTTCGATACCATCCTAGACACAATACAAACTATTGTGCCAAATTCAGCTTTACGTCGAATAATGTGGGCTGTATCGGGATTTCAACAGCCCAAAATGGCGTTACGGCCAGGACCGGGGGCACTACATCAAAATGGAATCGAAGTTTTCATGTTGTCAGATTAAACTGTAGTCAGTTTGTTGCATGGTTTTTGCAATACCATAACCCCGGAAGCCAACTTTGTAACGGAAGGTAAGACATTTAATACATTTCAAACCATTTTAGTGTTTGTAAATTGAAATTCTTTATATATGTTCTAGGAGAAGGTTTTCGTGAATATGAATGCACAAGCATTTATGTTTATAGGATAAAAGTTTGAGCAACAACACTTTAAATATCTAGTTGTTTCCAGGAAATTTTAAAGTACCTAAATTATGTCTAACGAATACGAAAAGCATTAAATCATGACTGATATCGACGTCCAAGTAATTTCCTCCACAACAGACATGTGGTTATGCTCAAAGGACTGGTCTCTTAGATCGAGTTCGGAAACGGTCGAGTTCGGCCCGATTGTCTTCAAATTTCACACATCCCAATATTTTTATTAGCCCAATGTCTGATGTTAGGATGGAATATATAGGTCCACTCTGCACAGGAAGAGAAAGATAAACCGATTTTGCTCCAACTTTGCAAATCCTAAAATTTACGTAAGTGCCAGGTCAGGTGCGAAAATGGACAACATCGGTCCACTACATCAAGTACCTCCCCACAATGGGTCAACATTTTAAATAATTACAACTCTTATAAATTGTGATGTAAGAGTCCGATTGTCTTCAACTTTTACACATCCCAATAATTTTACAAACACAAGCTCTAAAATACGAAATTAACATCCGATTCCATTCAAACTTGGCACATCTCAATATGTCCATCAACACAAGATC